CTTATTCACTGTCCAGCTTTCACATATATATGAGGTTATTGCAAATACCATGGCTTGGGTCAGGCGCACCTTAGTCCTCAAGCTGACATCTTTCTTTGCTCTTCAAAACTTTAAAAAAGTCTAATCCATCTCTCTTACCCTTCCCCAAATAATTTGATGGTCTTCAATTTATATCATGTCAAACGATAGTTTTGACCTCCTTGAGGAACTCAAATTGTGTTTCTCTGAAATGTTCTTTTGAGTTTGAGAACAAAAATAAGTCTGAAACGGCAAGATTAGGGCTGTAGGATGGATGGGATAGTCTACCAGCTAAATTCTCATAGGACAGCCTTTGTGACCCTTGAAAAATGAGGCGGTGCATCATTGTCATGATGGGAAAAAAAAAATTTTTTTTCAGCACAACTTTCCTGACCTTTTTCTCACCAATGCAGTTTTCAATTTTCTGAAAATTTCTTTATAAGCCCCATGATTGTCCTGTGCCTTCTGAGAAAATCTATCTAGACTACCTGTTTGGTATCTCAGATAACAGCTGCTACAACCTCCTGAACTGACCAGTATGTCTTGAATTTAACTGGCCCAGCAGATCCCCTAGGGTACCTAGTGTTGATTCCACCTTTTTTTGAAGGTACTCTAACAAGACTAAGACAAGTGCACTACTGAGAGAGCTTGTCTGCAGCCATCCACTGATCAGACACATGTTTAAACACTTTTAACTTAGAATAAACCCATGCATGTATGAACTAGAACCCTAGTAGCAATCATTTTTTACCTACCCTCTTATATACATATGTTATTGGAATAAGTATTAACAAAATCCATTTGAGGCTTATGTCTATTCTATTGACCATTATTACTAACTTGTATTTGAAAGCTCTTACCTATAGGAGTTATGAACTGCAAGAACTGTTTTTAAGCTGATTTAATCTCTTTGTCCAACTGTCAAACACTCATTCAGCATACAAAATATCTATCTATTAGGTCCCTGAGTGGTGACCATGGTTTGCTCTGGGCTACTAACTGAAAGGCTGGTAGTTCAAATCTGCCCTGCAGTACTGCGGAAGAAAGATCAATCTCACAATCAATCTCCTTAAAACTGTTGATCTTGTTAAGTGCCATCCAGTCTGTTCTGATTCATAGTAACCCTATTTAGGGTTTCTAAGTAAGGAGCTCTGGTAGCATAGTGGTGATGAATTGGGCTGCTAATCTCATGGTCATCAGTTCGAAACTACCAGCTGTTCCGTGGGAGAAAGATGAGACGTTCTGCTTCCATAGATTTACAGCCTCACAATTCCTGTACAGGGTCACTATGAGTTGGAACCGACTCCACAGCACATAACAACAACAACAAGGAGTGCTTGGTGAGTTTGAACTGTCAACCTTGAGATTCAAATGACCTTGCATTTCAGTGCTTATCCTATAGCGCCACACCAGGACTCCTCCATAAGATTATCATTGAAAATCCTATGGAGCACAGTTCTGACACACATGGAGTTGCCAGGAGTTGGAAATGACTCTAAGGCAACAGGTTTGGCTTGTTTTTGTTTTGTTTGGTTTTTGATCTGGCACTTCAGCATTCCGACTAAAGACACAATAGTAAAGCCACTATCCTGGAACTCCTGAGAGATTTAAGGTTTAGTGAGGAAGAGCCCAGCAAATGGTAATTAAATACAATGTAACAGAGTTAATATAGAGGCATAGGAAATATCACATTGTAGTCTTTAGGACTTCATGGTGTGCTCTGCCCATGGGAAAATGAAGAGCATTCCTGGCTGTGGTGGTTACAATCTATAAAGTCAGTGAAATACAAAAGATCTCAGAATGAGGGCAGAAGTGTTGTCAGGGACCCTAACACAAAAAACTCTTGTATACCACTTAAGGCTGGACTGTGGCACAATTTCTGTTTCTTTAAAAAAAATTTATTGTGAATTGAGTGGTAGTTTACAGGGAAGAATGTCGGGTTTACACTTATCTTACCATATTTTGTTTCATTGCTATGATTACAATCCCCTCCGTGCATTACCACTCAACAGTATTTGCTTCTATTCCCTCTGGGTTTGTGTGTGTGTTTTTTTTATGTACACGAGAACACCCAGGTATATATAATCATTTAAACATCTAAAGGACACATATAATTTCTATTTCTAACAAATGTTAAGATTTCTGCATGCAACACTCAGAAACTTTAAATTGAAAAAAGCTAGTCTCAGAAATGTCTTCAAAGCTTCAAATGACCAGTAGGCTTACATGTATGAACATAAAGCTCTTTTTTTTTATTTCCACATTCAACCCTAACAGTAACTTAAAGTCACTAATTCCTGCTGCTAATTCTCTAGATTAATTCAGTGGTCTTTATTACTGCTGTAATTAGTTCCTTAAAATTTGGAGAATTGTGAAGTAAAATTGCAGACTCATTCAGTCTCTTTATTATTGGTATGTTTTCCTTTAGTACTCAATGCTTTTAGCTGATTTTCTCTTTCCATTTTGGGCTCATCCAGACAGGACTAGTTTGAACCTTCCAGACCATCTAAGGAATTCTCCTGAGCAATAAAAAGTAATGTCACCTGAGCAATAGAATGACACTGCTTATTCTTTTCTGTTCTCTACAGATCAGGGAAGTCTCAGTCGGGAGGCAATTAGTGGGTAAAACTATACACCATATAGTTTATAGTATAAGGCGCCCAGGCAGTGCTGTGGGTTAGATATTGGGCTGCTAACTACAAGGTGATAGGTTCAAACCCACCAGTTGGAACACAGGAGAAAGATGAGGCTTTCTTCTCCAAAAAAAATTTAGTCTCAGTAACCCTATACAAGAATTCTGGTGTGGAGCTACAGTACAATGCAATGGACTGAAAGGTCAGCTTGAACTGGAAGATCGGCAGTTCAACCCTGTATAGGGTTTGCTATGAGTTGGAACCAACTCAACGACACTTAATAAAACAACAACCCTATGTAAGGTCACTTCGACTTTGTGCTAGACTAGTAGCTGAAAGGTTGGAAGTTCAAACCTACCCAAAGGCACTTCAGAAGACAGGCCTGGCAACTTGTTTGTGAAAGGTCAGTTTTTAAAATCTTATGGAGCACAGTTCTACTCTGCGCACATAGGGTCTCCAGGAGTCAGAATCAACGAGATGTCATCTAATAACAGGTTACTGGGTATAAACAAGCATACTATAGATTAATGCTATTGTCCATCATGGGTCTCAAAGTCAAAATGCTCAATTTCTTTATCTACAAGGAAAACAGGTCTTTCTAATGAAGAGTTTTCTAATTTGAACTTAATATAAAATGCAATTTATTAAATTGCTATTATTTCAAATTTTAAACTTTTTTGTTTTTCTTAATAAGACCAGTTTATGACAGACAATTTGGAAGTTACAAAAAAAAAAAAGATTAAGTCAGTCACATCCAACATGCCTTCCTCATTTTTTCAATAGTTGAAGCACTAAAACTACTGAATTTAACTGAAACCATGATTTTTCAGATAAAGAAAAAGTGTCACTTAAATTTGTAATCTCTATAAGGTCTTCAATTTAAAAGGACCAATGAACATTATGAGTTTGCAGTACAAATAAAGGTGTTTACCCCAAACTAAAAAAAGCACTGTTCACTAAAGCCAAGTGTTTGGGGGCCAAACACGGTCTACTACTTTACGTATGAAATGGGAATAACCTGGTTGGTGAAAACCCTAGGCAAAACAGTTTTTGTATTTTCACAAAATATTATTAATAAAATCTGAAGAGGTCACCTCAAATTTTGCAAATGAGGAAACTAAGATGGGATACAAGTGTTATCTAACTAATACTACAAAAAACTGGTCAAGGAATTTACTAGAAATAGTAATTAAATAGGGCTTCAGGGAGGGATAGGATAGCAAAAGAAAGATATTAAAGGAATGTATCAACTTAACTTTACCTTTAAATCGATTTTGTTTAATTTTATTACATTTCCAGCCAGATCGGTTTCTGAAGAATTTACTTCCCTTTCAGGGAAATCACTTTCCATAGGCTAGAGTAGGCCTCATACAATACCACGGCACCGCAAATCCATCGTTCAACACTTCCCCATTCAATTGAGACTGTCGCATTACCATCATGCCCTGTTTTCAAGCTTCCCATTTTTGTCCAGTCAATTCTGACTCTTATCGACCCTATACACAGAGAAGAACTGCCCTATATGTTTTCAAGGCTGTAAATCTATTCGGAAGCCGACTGCCACATCTTTCTCTCGAACAGCGGTTTGAGACCGCTAACCTCCCGGTTGGCCGAGCGCTTAACCAATGCGCCACCAGGCCTCCCGTTTCGAAGCGAGTGTATCTTTATTCCCTTAACTGTCCTTCCTGTCTCCCTCTAAACCATAAAACCATTGAAGAGAAAGACGAAAGCTGCCTTCTATCCTTACAGTCCCAACCCAAATCACGTGAAAACCTCAAGAACCTTTCCTGCAGGAATAGCAGATAAACCCTTAGAATTACTAAGAAAGCACATTCAGAAAGAAGCAAGCTCTTCAGTGACTCCGCAGTGAGGGCCATTTCAGTGACATTCCCTCCCAAGCCTGTCTCAAAGGAGACGCCTCTGCCTCCAGGGTTTTTCTTATCTCTTGTCTCCCCAGCAAGGGCTGAGGGTAAAGCAGATTCAGGACCTTTGTCAAATAATGGGCTTTGGGGAATGGGACCCCGAGGCTACCAGCAGGCTCCGAAGAATGGCTGAAGCCATCCTACTAGCCGAAGCCCCAAGGACTCCGGATAGAAAAACCATAATGGCCGCACTCACCCCCAACCCCACAGAAGCTTGACATTGCAACTCCCAAGGTAGCGGCGGAGACCACAGTAGGGAGAGGGGATCAGAAAAACTGGAGAAATAAGCTCCTTTCCTGTGCAGGGTGACAGCAGGGGGAAAAAGCCCCGGGCGCCGAAGACCGCCGTTTACAAACAGGTCCCCTTTTCTTCCCATCCTACCCCCTGTTCTCGCACTATCAGTCACCGGTTACCCGTCGCCACTCACCAGCCGGGGCGCGAGATGCATACACCGGTACAGACCACCGACCCAGAAGCTCTGTCACTGCGGGAGGGGAAGTCTTCAGCTGCAGAGGGGAGGGGAAGAAGGGGGCGTGTTTAACAAGTCACGTGAACCACCGCCCCGCCCTCTGACTCCCATCCGCGCACTGCGTCTCGGAGACCTATATTTTTACTGATCCCTTGAATATTAATTTTGTTGTGATGGAAGAAAAAAACACAAAAATGTCGCTACGATTGTGGCCTAAAGTACAATGTAGAAGGTATGGGAGGGGAGGCAAGGGTTAAAGTGCATGGCCAAGGAAGTGACGTTTCCCACGATCCAGGGACCGGAAATGGCGATGGAGTTCCGTCCTTCTGGGGCCCGCGGGTAAAAAATCCCAAGCCTGAAGATTTGGGCCAATCATGTGATTTCGGAACTTGAGTGCTGGATTGATGCCAAGTTATCTATCTGTTTGTTAATTACATTTTTTTGTTTTAAGACGTACTCATTTACTTAAGATTCCCATGGACATTTATATTTAGAAGAATTCGTTTTATAAACTCATTAGGAGACAGGAGCATTTGAAGGTCACTCGAGACTACCGAGAACAGGGTTGGACATTGGTCTTGTGGAAGTAGGAAAGGTGAGGGAGAGGTGGAAAAATCTGGATTTTACCGCCAGAGTTTACAGGCCAAGCCCCCGAGTAGTAGCGTAAGGAGTGGGAGGAGAGTGACGCCAGAGGGCGTAGCCCAGTAAAAACATGGAGGGCCAAAAATGGAGGGGGAAGGGTGCGCGGAGGCGAGCAATGCGGCTGCGCGAATGGCAGCGGACGCGCCGGCGCGCAGAGGGGGCGGGGTGAAAGGTCACTGCACGGCGGCGGGTCTGGCTGGCAGCGGCGGGCGGGAGCTGAGCGCTCCGTGTGCACGTGTGGAGAAGCTGAGGCACCAGTGCGGCGGCAGTGGCAGACACCCTTGCCCCTTCCGGAGACACAGGGCCGCGCTCGACTCTCGCGGCCTTGGTCACCAGCTGAAGTCCCCTGCTGTAGGAGAGGAGGCCGGCTGGTAGGGTTGAGTGGCGGAGCCGAGAGCTCTGAGAGCTGAGGGCGGCGGCGACAACGGCGGCGTTGATACTGGTGGTAACGACGGCCTCAGCAGGCAAGGAAGATGAAAGGGTGAGGAAGGGCATCCAGGGAGGGCCCAGTCCGCGGAGGCGAGGAACCCGGGCCAGTCTAGAGGGAGAGAGGCTACGAAGGAGAGGAGAGATGCGGAGAAGACGGGGCGAAGGAGGGTTTCTGGGCTTCTAGGTTCACTCCGCTCTCGGAGGGGGCGGAGGTCGGATTCTGACTGTTGGCGGCTTGAAAAGTCAGCGGAGGCAAGACCCGGGTAGCTAGGAACTGGGCCTTGAAAACGCGTGTGGGTTGAGTAGAAAACTAGCGGCTGAGTTAGCGGCCACAGGGAAGAGCCTTTGTGAGGCGCCGGGGCCTCGTAACTCGAGAGCGGACTGCTGGGAGCAGACCCAGTTCCACGTTTCGGCCCGCCAGTTCCGATGGAGGTGTTTGGCTGTCCTCCCGATCCGGACTCCTCACTGGGAACCTCACTTTCGACACCTTGTAGTTTTATTCACACTTGGGAGACGTGCAGAACCTTCTAGAGAGGGAAGGGATTGGAATAACGAGCATGAAGATGAGTATTAAGATCTAGTGATTCAACTGGATTTGGGTTGGGTCAGAGCGGGTGGAGGAGGGGAGAGAGCGCGAGCACTATTGACTTGGGGTGCCAAAATGTTTAAGGAAGTGGTGGTGATCAGTAGGTGGAGCTATTGCTTCAGTCGCTTACTGCCCCTCAGTGCTGTGCGTGGGGTCCTTGGTAACTTGGATGCTTTTTCTCTGGTGGTTGGCAAAATCCATGTTTTTATTATTTCTGTATCTCACCGTTTCCCTGTTGGATAGAACGAAAGGTTATTTCGGTTCGACTGTTTACAGATGAATAAAATGTCTCATCATTAAGTTTTATACTGTTAAAATATTAATTACACAATACTACTGTAGGTGTTTTTAAATGTTGCCTAAATTAGCTGTTTGGCGCGTGCCATCTCTAGTCTCTTCAGAGAAAGGAATGGAAATTTTTAAATATTAAAAGGCGAGTTTTTTCAATTATAACAAGTCAATTGCAAAATTGTCATGTTTTGAATTAAGACTTTTCAAACTTTTCAGTGCTGTTTTGAGGAATGACTGTAAAGGTCAAACTTCGTGAGTAATCTTATACTGATTCAAACAAGGGTCAAGATGTGTGTGTGTGCGCGCGCGCAAGGGTCAAGATATGTGTGTGTGTGTGTGTGTGTGTGTGTGTGTGTGCGCGCGCCCCCGCGGGCATGTGATGTTTGAGGAAGGAAAAGAAGTTACAAGACAGTTTGATTTGGCCTCGGGTCTGTAGTATGTTTTCTCACTCTGACTTTGCATTAAATATTGGGAATTTTTTCTAATGTTGAATTGTTAAGTTTTGTATTTAAAATCTTTTGAAGTTTAATTAAAAACGATGAGGAACATTTTACAGTCCCTACAGATGCTTAGTGGTTAAGAATCGGGCTGTTAATCTCAAGGTCAACAGTTCGAAACTACCAGCTGTTCCGCGGGAGAAAGATGATGCTTTCTGCTTCCATAAAGATTTACAGCCTCAGAAATCCTGTACCGGGTCGCTGTGAGTGGGAACCGACTCCACAGCACATAACAACAACACACGATTTCACATCAAATCCTAAAGAGTTCTAAACAAGACACTAATTGAGGTGCCTAGGAAGTGTTCGTTGCAGTTCAATCATGATCTAGGAAGTTTGACTTATATATAACAAATAATGTTGGAAGAATTTTTTTTCCCCCCTAATAAACTGCTTTGAGTATGGATGCTCTTAACTCATTTCTGTATTCCAATTGCCAGGCATATTTGTCTTGTTACCGTGAGTAATATGAGACTAAAGAGTGAGACGGCCACTGTTTTTATTAAAAGAGGACTCAGAAATTATTGTAGATGTTTTGATCCATATTCTGTACTCTAACTCAGACTAATTGTTTAAGTACTGTGAAGTTTCCAACCCATAGCTACTAGTGTAGGGTTTCCTTATGGCTCAAACTGAGTTTATAACCAGCGCCTATCTGTAGTTCCAAACCAGGACTTCTAGCTAGTGTATAACATTTTTGATACCTAACTTGGCAGTAGAGTGGTATTAAAGGAAATTCATAGCTATTGAATTCTGCTCCTTAAACATAGTTCCTATTATGTCTAGAGTTTGAGATCTGTTCTGAAGTTTCTTCTTTTACAGTGAGGTTACTTGGTTTTATGAATGAAGAACATGACTAATTGGTGGTGGTGATGTGCGTGGAGTTGGTTCCGATTCATAGCGACCCTGTACAGGGTTTCCAAGGCTGTAAATCTTTATGGGAACAGAAAGCCTCATCTGTCTCCCACAGAACAGCTGATAGTTTCGAACTGCCGACCTTGCGGTTCGTGGCCCGATTCATAACAACGACACTACCAGAGAAGCCTAGAATTGTTTTAATTGTAAATATTAAGATGATTTCTTAGAAATAGCCCCAGATGAATTAACTTTCAGAGAAAATGAGACTTTTTATTTATTTTTGTTTGTTTGTAAGTCTCACTAGTATAGTTTACTGATAACAATATATATTGTCAACTTTTTTTTTTTTTAGTCCTTGAGTTCAAAGACTTGTATCACAAAGCACAATGCAGTTATTGTTGAAGTCCTGGCTATGACTTTGAAAAGGCCTGTGAAATGAAAGTGGTCGAGATTGTGTGGTTTTTGTATGAGATTGTATGTGCTAAGTACATTTATTGTGTATTAACTAAACAGTAAATTAAATAGAATATCAAAATAAGGTGCAACACAGTACTCTCAATTCTAAAAATCAATTTATTATTTAATCATTTTACCTTGTTGCCTGTATTGTATATCATTTTGAAACTTAAAGCTTTTATATAGTTTTTCTTCATAGTTGTACTTAACTGTATATTGTTTATGTTATTTGTATATTCCATTAGATTAGCCTATGTATTTGCCTTTCCCTTATGGTAGATATATTTTTAGTGTCAGGAGGGACCAGCTACTGGAGGATATCATGTTTGGTAAGGTGGAGGGTCAGAAAAAAAGAGGAAGACCCCCCCAATGAGATAGATTGGCCAAGTGGCAACATGGATGGACTCAAGCGTGGCAACAGTAATGAGGTTGGCCCAGGATCGGGCAATTATTTGTTCTGCTGTGCATAGGGTCGCTATGAGTTGGTACTGCAATGGCACCTAACAACAACAATAACAACTTTGTACATTATTTAAAGGTCCAAAGCTTGAGGTGTATTACAGAACTGTTGCTTTCCTTTGTACTGAGGTTGCCTTTTTAATATAAACAAAGGACATTGTAGCTTGAATTTATGGATGATACGCTGATTATTTTTATCTGTTACTCCTCTCTTAAAGAAGGTGAAACTCAAGGTGTGTTACAGACAGCCATGATTGAAGGAACAATGTAGTTAAAGTATAATAGAAAACAGTATTATGTAAGTTTATCCCATATTTGTGAACCGACTCTACGGCACTTAACACAACAACAACATCCCATATTTGTAGTAAAGAAGCATAAAATAGTTCTAATAAAAATGTCTTAACATTTAGCAAGATGTGAATGCATGGCCAAAGTAAAAAAGGGAGAGTGGACAGCAATATAAACATAGTATGTGTAACAGCATAGTTTTACTAAGTGATTTTATTAAAAGGTGTTATTTTGACCAAATATTACTAGAAAATACAATTACAAGATTCTACAGTGAGAAAGTAAAATATCTTGAAGGATTCAGAATGAACTCTGACAGCATCTGTGCTAATGAGGCAAACCTGGAAGTCTTCTAAGGTGCTAGAAATATGCTTTATCTATGTGTTGATTACACAAGTGAATTACATATGTTGAAAAACGAAGGTGTACACAAGATTTGTACACTTTACTATATGCATCTTGTATTTCAATAAAACAGGCTTCTTTTAAATAAGGTTTTATTACTATTTGTCAGAAAACAACAGAAATAATCAGGGTGAAGTACGGTTCCAAACACAGCCTTTGTAAACCTGCAATTCATATTTCTTGCTTCTATGAAAGCAGTAACTTGCTGGACTGCTGATTGTGATGGTGAGTTTTAACAAATACTTTGTAGTGTTCTCTTTGCTATGTTGAGATGGATTCATGTGCAATATAACCTACCTGCATCACTAAATGGAGCTCTGGTGGTGACGTGGGTTAAGCACTAGGCTACTAACTGAAATGTTGGCTTTTCAAAGCCACCAGCTGCTCCACAGGAGAAAGCTGAGGCTGCTTAATTGTGCAAAGATTTACAGCCTTGGATACACTGTGGAGCAGTTCTACTCTATTATATAGGGTCAGAATTGACTTGATAGCAAAGGGTAGGCACCACAGTTTTGGTTTGGTTTGTGTTTTTTAATGTAATGCTCTAATAGGAGAAATGAGATGGAAGTAAATTATGGTAAAATATTTTAATGTGTAAGATGATCAAGTACAACTGCCTATGAGGCATAAGGTGAGGTATAAGCATTGGTAACTGGAATCATTGTATACTTGAGAACATATATCTGCTAGAAATGTACATATGTACATTAGTGACAAGGGGCTGTGTTCCCATTAGTGATGTGATTTTTTTCCGCCTCGTCACTTAAAATTGTAGACAACTCTTGATAAAATCCTGGACAAAAAAAATAATCAAGAATCTCTGAATTAGAAGAGACTTTAAAATCAACCAGTAGCCCAACCGCTCATCTATCACTTCCAGATACATTCTCTGTTTACCATTATTTCAAACATCCCTGCTACTTTAATATTACTCTAGATGTGATCAGTAAACTAGGAAAATGAGAGACTACTGCCATCATTATCGAGTCTTGGTGTGGCACTGTGGGTTAGTGTGCCGGACTACAAAGCCATTTGAACTGCAAGGTAGGCAGTTCAAGCTCACCTTCTCCTCAGAAACCACCCTATACAGGGTGGCTGTGGGTCAGAGTCGACTCAATGGCACTCAACAACTACTACCATCATTGTTGTAAATAATGCAACCCTGTTGCTACAGTTTATGATCAAATTAATTTACATTGCTGTGCTTTAGCTTTACTGTCAACTGAAGGTTCATGCATACTTCCTTAACCTGTATAAAGCATTAACTTCCAAAGTCAGTGCTTTTGCCAGACCACACAAATATCTATATTAAATTACATTTTGCTACCTCCTCTCTTTTGGCCTTTGGAAATCCTTTTGACTCTAAATTTCTCTTTCAGGTTATTAGAGGGCATTGAGCTGGAGTCCTG